TCCAAGGGCCTGCTCCCCAGGCCCTCAGGCCCCCACCATTAGCTTTTTTGCCACGGCTACTGGCAGATGGTAAAAAAACTCACTGTTTCCCTGTGACAAGTTATGCTTCAGAATACAAATAAAGATTAGGGTTTGCATTGAGCCCGTGTGTTGATCGCGACCACAATCGCGTGTGCTTCTGAGATGTGTATCGCTTGTATCCGCCAGCTTTCACTGCTCCCCAAGATGTCCACGCGAGAAAGCCAACCGAGACCAAGCCCCTTTGCTCTGCAGAGCCCCCCCGAATGCTTTGAGCTTGGAGGGACCAGGTATCCCTAAGGTGGAAGCTCAGGATGGGTGTGAAAACAGCATTGCATGGAAGACACGGTTAGATCCCCTGAGTCCCTTCTCCCAGCCCACATGGCCTGTGACTGCCCTGTCATTCCCTGGCCCTCGGAGAAGACAGCGTCACTGCTGGCCACGGCTGGACCCCAAGCCAAAGGCTGTGATGAATGGGGAGACCCTCAGCCCTTCTCCTGCTCACACCCTCCACCCTCTGCCAAGGCAGGACGTTGCTGAATGTCTCTCTGGGAAACTGACCAAAGAGAAAAGATGGGCAGAGCCTGACGTTGGCGAGTCCCCAGTCACCACGGCGGGGGGGCCCCCAGTGCCCTGGCCCTGCCCCCGAAAGCAGAGCTCCCGGTTAGCCTGGCTGTGCTGCACGCACCCCGGGAGCAGCCAGGGCACCAACCGTTGACCAGAACCAACAACCAGTGCAACCAGCCCTCTGCAGGTTCACCCGCGAACCAGGAAAAGGATGTTCTTCTTTTTTTTATATATATTTTATTGATTTTTTACAGAGAGGAAGGGAGAGGGATAGAGAGTTAGAAACATCCATGAGAGAGAAACATCCATCAGCTGCCTCCTGCACACCCCCTACTGGGGATGTGCCCGCAACCAAGGTACATGCCCTTGACCGGAATCGAACCTGGGACCCTTCAGTCTGCAGGCTGACGCTCCATCCTTTGAGCCAAACTGGTCAGGGCAAGGATGTTCTTTTTAAAAGCAAGTGTTGAAGCTCTTCCAAAGTAAAATGCAATAGCAGAACTTAAAATTGCACTAGGAGGAATGGAAGGTGAGAGAAAATCCCCCAGAATATAAAAGCAAAGATGTGAAAGTAGAAGAAAAAGTCAAGAAAATTGGACAATCAAAAGATAAGAGCCGTGCAGAAGGTCCAACTAATAGAAATTTCAAACCAAGACACAAAACACAGGAGAGAAAATTGTCAAAGAAATGATACAAGGGTATTTCCTGGGACTGAGGGGACAAGCTCCCTAGAGAAAGAGCCCACCAGGTGCCCGGCACAGTGGCGTGAAACCACAGCCACGTGGACGGCGCCGCCATGGCGAGCACCGCGGCAACCCCTGTGGACGAAGATGCGCAGGGCCGGCAGCCGCAGCGAGATGCCCTCGCCCGGGGTCTTCCCGAAACAGATTCTCGCTCCCTCCGGAGGTCGGGCCCGGGGCCGAGAGGGCCCGTCTACAGGCTCCCGGTGATGCCGTGCTGTGGCTGGAGGACCGCACTTGGAGAAGCGCTGGTCCCGGGCAGCGGTTGTCAGCGCCGGCTGCTCATTGGAGTCACCTGGGCGACACAAGCACTCCTGCCGGACTCACCCCCGAGGTTCTGGTTTCATCGCTTTGGGGCACAGCCCTGACATCGGATTTTTAAAGGTCCCCACATGACCCCGACGGGCTGGCAGGACCTAGAACCTTTTCCCTATGGAAGCTCCACACACACAGGATGTTGGGGGAGTACCTTATCACTGGCTAAACACTGGAAACGGCCTAAATACCATGGACAGGACAGATCTGTGACTGTGATACAGTCAGGCAATGGGCTATCGTGCAGTGACGAGCGTGAGGGGCGACACTCAGCACAGATGACTCCCAGGCTGAGCAAGGAAACAGACGGCAGAAAAACAAACCATCATGACGCCGTCTAGTTAGAGACTTGAAACACACACAGTGTTGTATATTAACATATATCTTATGCAGTGAGAGAATAAAGACATGCCTACGAAGGATAAACAACAGATTCCTAGATACATATTGGGAGGAAGACATGCAATTAAGGAGGGGTTTCCACTTTAATATAATGTTCTAGCAATCTCGGTGAGGAATGGGTGGGTTTGTAATGTATGTATTATATTTTATATGTTTTACAGGGGTGGGCAAAAAGGTAGGTTTACAGTTGTTTGAATGGAAGATAATATAATTAATAGATAATACAAGAATAAACTCTGTTTGGCCCTGGCCAGGTAGCTCAGTTGGTTAGAGCATCATCCTGATACCCCAAGGTTGCGGGTTCGATCCCAGGTCAGGGCACATGCAGGAATCAACCAACGAATTCGTAAATAAATGGGACAACAGATCAGTGTTTCTCTCTTTCTCCCTTCCTCTCTCTTAAAAATCAATTAAAAAAAGAAAGAATAAATTGTTATGTGTACTCACAGCTGTAACCCTACTCTTGCCCACTCCTGCATTTATTATATTTGTATTATCGTTATATGACTGAAATATTGCAAAATAAAAAGCTTAAGGAATAAAGCAAGCCTTCTTATCATAAAATTTCAGGACACCAGGATAAAAATCCTAAAAGGGAAAAAAGTCCAAAACCCTTCCAAAAAGAAAAAAAACAGGTCACATACCAAGGATGGGAGATTAAAATGCACTGAAATTCCCACAGCAGACCCGAAGCCAGAAGCCAGTGGGGCAGCGTCTTCTAGGTCCTGACAGGGGATGAGTGCTAATCTAGATGGACAGCCAGCCCCATCTCCATGGCGGGAGAAGGAAGGTGTTTCCAGATGTGGGTGTTTATGTTTTTAATTGGCCGCCCATCCCTCCTTTCTCAGGCGGCTACTAGAGGACATGCCCCAACCAAACGAGGGAGAAACCCAGGAAAGAGAACACGGGGACGCGGGTGCTGGAGATCCGACACAGGAGGGGTCCCAGGGAGTCCCCAGGCGGGTAACAGTGGCTCTGCTGGGGAGATTGTATGTGATATCATGATATGTTACCATATGTCATGGTATCTTCTATACTAATAAAAGGGTAATATGCTGATTAGACCGGATAGACGGACGTCTTCTGGACAAAGCTGCAGCAGCTGCGAGGGCCGAGGAGGGCAGCATGGCTGGCAGTGCCAGCAGCAGCGGGGTGATGGGGGCAGCACCTTCCCCTGATCGGCCCGGTCACCTCCCGCAGAGGGAGGCCAGACTGCACTTAGTGGGCCTAAGCCATCAGTAGAACATCCCCTGAGGGCTCCCGGACTGTGAGGGGGGCAGGCCAGGCTGAGGGACCCCCCTCAGTGCATGAATTTTCGTGCACCAGGCCTGTAATCTATAATAATAAAAGCGTAATATGCTAATCAGACCAGACGTCCTTCTGGATGACCTTCCAGACAACCTTCCGGACGAAGTCGCAGCTGCAAGGGAATCCTGGGTCCCAGGTGCCTGCTGGCGGCCGGAGGGAAGCCCGGGGCCCGGGTGCCAGAGGGAAGCCGGTGTCGGCAGTGGGTTCAGGAAGGAAGGCCTACTCTTGCACAAATTTCGTGCATGGGGCCTCTAGTCTATATATATAAAACTGAAAAAGCAAGAGTCAGCATGAGATTTCAATATGAAGGTCCACACCAGCAGAAGTGGCCAAGCGTTCTAAGGGTGCCTAGAGAGGGACTGGAGCGGGGGCAGGGGATTGCCACCCTCTGTCATCAACTCTCTAGGACAGTTGCCCCTTTTAAACTATATACTACGTTACATTCGAACAATGAGATTTTTTCCATGGAAAATACACATCAAGCTCAGGATAAACCCTGGGGCGGAGGTGAGAGCCCAGAGGCCGTAGCAGGTGAGTGAGGTAGGGAGGCTGAGGACCTGCCTGGCAGAGAAAATACAGCCCCGGGGTCCTTCTATCCAAATACGCCGCCTGTGAGGGGCCGGGGGCTCTGCCTCCGGCTCAGAGCTCCCCTGTGCCCGGACCAAAGCCCCTGGGGCCTCTCAGGCCTCCTGCAGGACGGGCCCCACACTCAGCGCCCGCCAGGACCCGCGCCTGGGCCAGACCCGGTCCAG